ATATAATCTTTTAATCTTAAAGTAAATCTGTTAAAACAGTTTATATTTTATTTCATATATTTTTAATAAAAAATTGTACTAAAACTATATTAATAATACAAAAATATATAAAATTTGTACTTAAATTTTACAAAAACTAAACAAAACAATATATTTTAAATTAATTTAAAATATATTTTTTATAAATTTCTATATAATGTTTTTATTGAAATTACTTAGACTTTTTAGTAATAGTTTTTTATTTAACTGTTGTATTATTTCTTTTGCCTTTATTAGCTTTATTCAAACTATAATAATATTTTTTTAATATTTTTTCTATCATCTCAATCAGACTCTCTTACTTATTATTTAATCAGACTTCTTAAATTACCAATTCAGATGACTTAGTAAGCTTATAACTTGACACTTGATATACAATTTGTAGTAAATTCTAGTAACTTGAATGAAGCATGCATTTCTTAATGCATATTTGTCATTTAGTTTGTCTATTACAGATTTTTTTAAAAGATGTTCATAATTTTTCATTTTTTGAATAGTACTATCAAAATTTTGTACTATCGTTCTATTTGAGTCTTGCAAGTAAGCTTTCATTTCTCTGATTTTTTTGGGTTTAAAGGATTTTTGTAAAACTACTAAGTATTCTTTTATGTTTGCATGACATTACATATTGTATAAATTCTCCGAGTTCTCATTTTAGATAATGCAATCAAAATTACAAATACATTAATCTAACTGATTATTGAAAGACAGTTTTATTATAATACGGATATATTTTTTGAAAATTATCACCAGTAGAATTTGAACTTTAAACCTGCCACTATTCATAAACTATTAAACTAGAGTTAAAGTTTAAATACATTTTATACTAAAATTTTGCAAGACAACTTTAGCGCCCAAAATGTGATATCTTTATACTCAAGTGAATAAGTTGAAATTATCTAACCAGAAAGTATTTTTGATAAATTTATAAAACATAAATCTATTTCAAATTCTTATGTGTAAAATAACAATTTGTTGTAAACATGATGTAGAATTATATGATAAATTATGGTGTATAATGTGCAATAGCCACAAGTTCACCCATTCTATAAAGTTTACCTTCTTCAGCAACTACTGCAACTTGGCTCTTATTTTCGAACACAAAAACAACGTCAGATCCACCGAACTGAAAATAGGATATTTCATCCCCCTTTTTCACTTCATCCTCTTCATTAACGGAGAGAACTACAGAAGATACTTTACCCATACCGACTGCTAAAACAGCCACTTTTCCAATTGGTGAATCAATTACAATCAGACCACGAGTCTGGCTGAACTGATACCTTGGAGGGAAATACACCATTTCTCGAATAGGTATTATTCTTCGTTTGCCGTCAGAGCTGTTTTGAGCAATAACATCGAGATAAGCTAGGCCTGGAATTATTTTGGCTTGGAGCACTTTGCCACTAACAGGAGCATGAACTCGATGATAGTCGCATGGTGAGAGAATTGAGTGCATAAATTTCCCGTTGGAAAAGTAATCTTTGTAGTTACTATCATTAAGTAATTGCTCAATGCTCCAGGGAAGGCCTTTTATAGTAATAGTTGATTTCTCATCAATATTCCAACAACCCATAAAGGTCGAATCTCCAGCATTTACAATAACGGCTGGATTTGAAGGGCCAGTGATGGGTCGGGTTCCATTCTTGAATTTTCGTCTGAAGAATTCATTGAAGGATTTCCAGCCTCCTTCAGGTTTCTCGTAGGCATCCACGTTGTAGCCTTGTGCGGTGTAAAAAGTCTCTAGAGATGCATTAGTGAGTGATTGACTTGTGTCGAGAAAACTTCCTAATTCTTTGACGAAATCGACTATCCATTGTGATAGTTCCGTTAACGGTGATAGGTTCCAAGGTACAAGTGATGATTGAAATGGTTTAACAGTTTTCTGACCAAGGACAAAGTACATCGTGAAAATCATACGGGAAACAAAAGTTCCTGTTTCATCTTCTGTTGGCACCCACCTCACCAAGTAATTAAGAAAATTGTAGAATTCGGTCAAATTTTTTATATTATCCATTTCTATTACGCCTGACTCATAAGCGTCAGAGACCGCTGTATCAAAATTTATCAGCCAATTATTTTTGTCGATCATATCTTGCAACTTTTTAACAATTTTCTCATAGTTTTCAGGAGTAGGGAAAGGCCCGAGGGATTTTAATGTCATTCCACACTTCGGACTATCTGGAACTGCAGAAATGGTAAAAGTGAAAAAAATAAAAATTATTAACAAAGATTTTAGTTGCATGATCAATTCAACTCATTTATTAAAGAATTTTTCAAGTCTTTATAGAAAATTTTTTTTCTAAAGTTATCCATTTCTTTTAACGTTAAATAAGCTGAAGCAGATGAAACAAACAAACAAACTGTGCCACTTGGTTTTTATCTAGTTGCTCGCAATTATGCCAGCTCGAACCGCTTATGCAAAAATCGAATTTGTCATGTGATAAGGCTATGTGACCCTAGCATCACCCAACAAAAAAATGGTAGCCGCCGGGGTACATGTGATTATTTGATTCGGTTTTGATTATTGGCAATTTTGATTAACTATCAAAAAAAGTCTGTGTACTTTTAAAATCCATTATCATTACCATACAATAACGAATAATAAAAAAATTCATCTACCATCGATACTGCTGTGCTGTTATTGCTTAAAATTTTTATGGATTTTACTTATAGTTTTACTAGCGAATGACCCTTGTCTTCGGTACACGAAATCTAACCAATCAAATTACCAGAAGTTAGAAAATGCAAACAGACATTAAAATATTTGCATAGATGTTTAAATAATACATATATATATAAATGTATTTTGCAAAAAATAATGCTTATCAATTGAAATTATGAGGACTAGAAAATTTTCTAATTACACTGAAATAATAAACAAATTTCATTGTCAAACAGAATCTCATTATTGAATTATAAATCTTCATGTTAAAATCATGAAAATATATACCAATTGAATTATTAAAATACTGTTACAATTAGTACTTATCTAATACTAAGTTGTAAAGTTAGTCATTGCTAAATGTCAACCATGCTCATTGTTAAAAGCATGAACTAATTTATTAGTAAAATTACAAATCTATTTATTGCTAAAATTACATATTTAGCCAATCTAAAATTACAAATCTATAACAACTACATATCTTTTGTCTTTTATTTTTTATATTGACATTGTAAATTGATTAAAACTTATATATTATAATTAAATTCTAGTATAGATTTTTATTCATATAATTGCAAAAATTTAAAATATCATTAGAGTAGTTAGGTAGCAAAGTTACCTAAATAATCATGTATTAGTTTACTATTATAATTATAAATCACATACTATTAAAATTAAAAATGCATTAATTATTGTAATTATTACTTACTTGTTAAAAAGATACGTGTAAGCCCATCATTGTTAAAATTATAAACTTATTTTATTGAAACTATTAAATTGTTAATTCTTTTGCTATTAAAATTACATAATTTATTGACAAATTTTTTTTATAAATTACATTAATATTAACTTTAATTCTAAATTTGATTTTAATAATAATGATCAGAATTACATTATTGTAAATAAACTATTAGTAAATTAATTGTTGGTAAAATAAATAGTACAGTATTAGTTAAAGAAACTACTTATGATCAAAACAACCAACTTATTTAATAAAATTGTGAACTTATTACTAAAATAACAAGTTTATTTGTTATTGAATCATAAACCTACATATTTTTAGAACTATAAACTTACCTATTCGCAACTAAATACTGAATCTTATAAGCTAAAGTAACTATTATTAAAGTATAATAAATTTGTTTTGTGGTGTATAAGTTTATATAGATTAGGATATCAGAAGTTGATAAATGTTCAAAGCAATTAGTTGATATATTTGGCTAAGATGCTAATTTTTTTATTACTTAGACAATTAATTTGGTTAATAGATTGTTTATTTTTGTAAATATGTAGAAATACGTATGTAATGTAACCGAATTGAAAACTTTGCATGAAATAGTATAGAAGTAGAGTGTCCTTCAGACAATTACCAGTTTTGAAGGATATAAAGTTATAGAAACTTTTCTCCATATCTTTACATCTCAATTATGCATATTTGCATTGGCATTATGTTCAAAATATTTATTACCTATCTTTTATAATTACTATACTATAAAAATTGTATACAGACTATAAGTATAAAAATATTTATGTCATTTGGTTATATTGTAACTATTGTAAAATTTTAACTAACCTTATAATTTAAACCATTTTTATATCTATAATATCTAAAATAGCGCCCTAGCTAAAATTATAACTTAATGCATGCATGAAGATCTAATTTCAGGGGCTTAATTTAGCCAGGTGTTACTTTAGATAAATCGCTACTTTAGAAGACAGTATATCAATACAAGTATGTTTTTCCAAAACATCTCTAGTAGGATTCAAATACTTGATCTGTCATTTAGAAAGTGACAACTTACAAATTACACAAGTTGCCATATCCTGTCTTTTTAAAAAAATTTTTTTTGTAAACCATAAATATTATTGAACCAGGGACTGAGATGGACCAACCCAACCCTACTTCACACTTTTTAGCTCATTGATCGAGGCGCTTGAGAACGCCTTTATTAATGAAATATATATACATCAAGTTAATCGATTATACTGATATACATATACAATAATAGTTTAAACCTGTTTTACAGAATTGGATACGTATTAGTGCTTAAACATGGTATATAGATCGTAAACAATTAAATTAAAGGTTTAAAGTTTCGATAAAACACATTTGATACTAAAATTTTGGAATAAATCTTTAGTGCCCAAAGTGTTCTATCTTTGTACTCCAGTGAATATGTCGAAATTGTCTAATAAGAAAGCATTTTTGATGAATTTATAAAACATAAATCTGCGCCAAATTCTCATGAGTAAAATAACAATTTGTTGTAAACATGATGTAGAATTATATGATAATTTAAGGTGTATAATGTGCAACAGCCACAAGCTCGCCCATTCTATAAAGTTTACCTTCTTCAGCAACTACTGCAACTTGGCTTTTATTTTCGAACACGAGAACAATGTCAGATCCACCGAACTGAAAATAGGATATTTCATCCCCCTTTTTAACTTCATCCTCTTCATTAACGGAGAGAATTACAGAAGATACTTGACTCACACCGACTGTTAAAACAGCCACTTTTCCAATTGGTGAATCAATTATAGTCAGACCACGAGTCTGGCAGAATTGATACCCCGGAGTGCCATCCACCATATTTCGAATGGGTATTATTCTCCGTTTACCGTCAGAGCTGTTTTGAGCAATAACATCGAGATAAGCTAGGCCTGGAATTACTTTGGCTTGAAGCACTTTGCCACTAACAGGAGCATGAACTCGATGATAGTCGCATGGTGAGAGAATTGAGTGCATAAATTTCCCATTGGAAAAGTAATCTTTGTAGTTACTATCATTAAGTAACTGCTCAATGCTCCAGGGAAGGCCTTTTATAGTAATAGTTGATTTCTCATCAATATTCCAACAACCCATAAAGGTAGAATCTCCAGCATTTACAATAACGGCTGGATTTGAAGGGCCAGTGATGGGTCGGGTTCCATTCTTGAATTTTCGTCTGAAGAATTCATTGAAGGATTTCCAGCCTCCTTCAGGTTTCTCGAAGGTGTCCACGTTGTAACCTTGTGCGGTATAAAAAGTCTCTAGAGATGCATTAGTGAGTGATTGACTTGTGTCGAGAAAACTTCCTAATTCTTTGGCAAAATCGACTAGCCATTGTGATAGTTCCGTCAACGGTGATAGGTTCCAAGGTACAAGCGATGATTGAAATGGTTTGACAGTTTTTTGACCAAGGACAAAGTACAACGTGAAAATCATACGGGAAACGAAAGTTCCTGTTTCATCTTCTGTTGGCACCCACCTCACCAAGTAATTGAGAAAATTGTAGAATTCGGTCAAATTTTTTATATTTTCCGTTTCTATGACGCCTGACTCATAAGCGTCAGAGACCGCTGTATCAAAGTTGATCAACCAATTATTTTTGTTAATCTTATCTTGCAACTTTTTAACAATTTTCTCATAGTTTCCAGGAGTAGGGAAAGGCCCGAGAGATTTTAATGGCATTCCACACTTCGGACTATCCGGAACTGCAGAAATGGTAAAAGTGAAAAAAATAAAAATTATTAACAAAGATTTTAGTTGCATGATCAATTCAGCTCAACTCACTAAAAAATTTTTCAAGGCCTTTATATAAAATTTTTTTTCTATGGTTTTACATTTCTTTTAATATTAAATAAGCTTGTTATGCGAAACAAACAAACTGTGCCACTTAGTTTTTATCCAATGTATAAAGCAACAAAGCCTTGTAGCTTGCAATTAAGTCGGCTCGAACCGCTTATGACAAAATCGAATATATCACGTGCTAAAGCCATGTAAAGTTAACGACCCTAGCGTCACCCGCAAAAAAATGGTAGCCGGACAGATCTGCCGATTATGTGACTCGGATTGGATGATTGGCAATTTTGATTACAAATCAAAAAAATGTCTGTAAAATTCTTTATCTTCACCATACAATAACGAAAAAAAAATCTTTTACCATGTCAGATTAACAGCTCAAATCTTGTACAGGATGTTATACTATTCAAAATAATGAAATAATGAAGATTTTTTGGATGAAAAAGGGGTCAAAGTAAAAAAAATGCTTACAATGCCGAAACCAAATTAAATTATCATGTTCAAAGAATAATTAAGAACAACCTGACACGACAATTATAAAATTCTATCTTGCAAAAAAATTTATCTAAAGTTTTAAATATTTTTAGACGATAATAATAAATAAATAAATATAACAATTTATTTTTAACATCTTGAATATTTTTTGGTAATTTAAATAACCTTTGGATTATTGGCTTAGTCTTACAAACGCTTTTTATAGTATTAAATGAAACGCATCTTTTGAAAATATTAACTTATTGGTTCAACATAGAAATAAAAAACAAATGCTTGTAAAAAAATCGAATTTTTCCGACAAAATATGACCAAAAGAAAACGTATAAATAATAAAATTTTAAGCGATTCATGTTATTCATCAAAAAAGTTCTTTTGAAAAACTTAGAGGCCATATTTATTGTTTGATAACAATTCATAAATACGCTAAAGACATTTGCTGGTTATTGAATTGTCTATAAACAAATTAGATCACATAATAACATGTACCCAACAGATCTATCCGGTTACCATTTTTTTGCTGGCGACGCTAGGGTCGTTTACATTATACAGTATAAAGTTATCATATGACTTTAAAAAATCTTTTACTCTCATAAAATTATTGCAGGTGTGAATTAAGATTTATTAATTAAATGGTAGATAAACATATAACGATGGCGATAGAATTAAATTTTTTTTACCAGGAACGGAGTACAAAGTACGTAAAGTATGGTACAGGCAAGTTTGTGACTTTGTTTTTCTATATTTGTATATTATGTGTGGCTTTTTTTTATATACGTATCGACATTATACATGTTTTATTCACAGTTTTATCCACATTATCATCTATTTTATATGAATATTTGCTATTTAACATCATCTTATTCGTGCGATCCAGTGTATTGAATCTGGAAAATTTTCGTTAATTAAGAGTTTAAATTTCATATTAATTTCATTTATTCATGTCAATTTAGTGCGTTATATATTGAGCATTTATTTATTCAAGATCTAAAACTGTCATGAATACTACTATTTCATTTGCATTTATTTAATGCGTGAGTATAAACAATATTTAATAATCGAATTATTAAATTATTATTAAATTTCATGACTCAAAATTACGCCTATGAAACCAAACTTATGTGCCTTAACAAAAATACTACTTTGCTAAAATCGTTCATTTTTGCGATAGTGTTAAAATGGTATAGAACTAGTAAAATTCAGCAGTATCATAGGA